AAAGGCACAGCAGCAGCAACAGCAGCAGCAACAGCAGCAGCACGCCGATGGGCGCCTTCCCGTAGCAGCAGCAGCAGCAGCAGCAGCAGCAGCAGCAAGAAGGCAGCAGCAGTCACACTGCAGTAGCAGCAGCAGCAAACAGGTCCCACTCTGCAGCAGCAGCAGACGCAGAGACGTCCCACTACAGCAGCAGCAACAGGTGCATCAGCAGACGAGGCCCACTGCAGCAGCAGCAGCAGCAGCAGCAGCAGCAGCAGCAGCAGCAGCAGCAGCAGCAAATACCTTTTTGGGCCTGAAGGACATGGCGGTGACTGTGCCCACTATGAGCAGCGGCAGTCCCTCAAATTCGCAGCAGCAGCAGCTAATAGCTGCTTCATCTGTTTCGAAAGTGACCTTTTCAATAGTGGTGCTCTGCAGCAAAACAAGCAGCAGCAGCAGCAGCAGCAGCAGCAGCAGCAAATGACAGACCGGCCCAGCCAGTAAACCCTTTCTAGGCAGCAGCACAAAGGAAAACAAATCAAAGACATCAACCAGAGGAGACTAAAGCTCACCGGAACTCCAGCAGCAGCAGCAGCAGAAGCAGCAGCAGCAGCAACAGCAACAGCAGCAGCAGCAGCAACAACAGCAGCAGCAGCAGCAGCAGCAGCAGACGCACCAGAAGCGGGTTGACAACTCTGAGGCAGCTGCCCCACTTGCCGCTGCCAGCCTTAAAGGCCCCCAAAGCACTTTCCTCTTCAAAGCCATTTACTTCTTCATTTTCTTCCTCGTGGCTGAGTTTAATGCCCTAAACACAAACCCTAAACCCTAAACCCTAAACCCTAAACCCTAGGGCGTTCACAGCGAGCAGGAAGCAGTTTAGGGTTTACGGCGCGCAGGCACTCCTGCGCAGTTGCCGCTAGCCCCTAAACCCTAGCCCCTAGACCCTAAACCCTAAACCCTAAACCCTAGGTCGTGCGCAGGCTGGAAACCCTAAACCCTCGGCAACTGGCGAAGCAAATACCTCTTGGCCTAAACCCCTAGCCCTCTCCCCTGCTCTTAAGACCAAACCCTAAACCCTAAACCCTAACCCCTAAACCCTCGCGCCCACCCTAAACCCTAAACCCTAAACCCTAGCCCCTAAAGCCTAAACCCTCGCGCCAACGCCCAACCCCTGAGCCCCCGCGCCCACCCCAAAACCCCAGCCCGTAGCCCCCAAACCCTAAACCCTAAACCCTAAACCCTAAACCCTAAACCCTAAACCCTAAACCCTAAACCCTACTCGCAAGGCCCTTTGGATTTCGAACTTGGTGGCCTCGTCGTAGGCGTTGTGGTCCGCCTCGCAAATGGCCAGCGCGGGAACTTTCTGAGAAGAGCCCTCAGCAGGCACCAGAGTCCCTGAAAGAAACAATTATTAAACAATTAATTTTAATTAATAATTATTATTAATAATAATAAATAATAATTCCAATAATAATAATATTCAGCAGCAGCAGCAGCGGCAGCGGCAGCAGCAGCAGCAAAAACGGGGGCGGCACTGCAGCAAGAAGCAAAGTGACCTTCACCGGTGCTGCAGCAAGGCAGCAGCAGCAAGCGGGCAAGCGCGTAACAGCAGCAATGCAGCAGCAGCAACAACAGCAGCAAGGCAGCAAGCCAGCAATAGCAGTAATCCAGCAGCAGCAAGACAGCAATTCAGCAGCAGCAGCTCAGCAACAGCAGCACTTCAGCAGCAGCAGCGAGGAAGTCAGCAGCGCAGCAGCAGCAGCAAGCCAGCAACAGCAGCAAATCAACAACAACAGCAGCAGCAGCAGCGCGGAAGCAAGCCAGCAACTCAGCAGCAGCAGCAGGCCAGCAACAGCAGCAACTCAACAACGACAGCAGCAGCAGCAGCAGGCCAGCAACAGCAGCAACTCAACAACAACAGCAGCAGCAGCAGCAGCAGCAGCAGCAGCAGCAGCAGCAGCAGCAGGCACCTCCGAACTCGGAGACGTGGGGCAGCACGGCCATGGCCCTGGGGGTGAAGGAAAGAGGCAAAGAAGAAGAACAAAAAACATCTCCCAAACGCGGGACTCGAAAAATCCGCAAAGAGTTCCCCGATATCGCCACGAAGCCGTCCAGGCACTGCAGCAGCAGCAGCAGCAGCAGCAGCAGCAGCAGCAGCAGCAGCAGCAGCGGGGGAGAGGGAGCAGCAGCAGAAGGCAGAGCGGCGGCAGCGGCAGGAGAGAGCAGCAGGGCGGGAAGCCATAAGAGCCAATCGCCGCAAACCCTAAACCCTAAACCCTAAACCCTAGACCATCCTGCTGCAGCTAACCAAGCCCCAAACCCTCCCCGCCGCCGGACCACCTCCACCAACCCGCCCGCAACCCCAAACCCTAAACCCTAAACCCTAAACCCTAAACCCTACCTGCTCGGAGGAGAAGGAGGCGATGGCGTCGAGGGGGTCGTAGTGGAGAGGAGCAGCAAGGAGTTTTCCCTGATGAGAAAACTTCAACCAAGTTTTTTCACTAAGTGCTGCTACTGCGGGTTTGCTGCGCACTGACACGCGGGCAAACCGCGGCGCCTTCGCCCCCAAAAAGCGACACCGCTGGTCACCCAGCGAACCAGTGGTCAGGTCCACTGACGAACGCAGCATCACCCCAGAGCTCAGCCCCACCTGCAGCAGCAGCAGCAGCAGCAGCAGCAGCAGCAGCAGCGGCGGTGCAGCAGCAGCAGCTGCTGCAGCAGGGCAGATGCGGGGCGCCAAGTGCCTCCCGGGACGCTCCCAAGAAAGACCCCCAACCCAAACCCTAGGGGCCCCCCTAGGGGCCCCCTTAGGGGCCCCCAAACAAAAGCACCCCGCTGCCCCCCGACCCCCCCGTGTAAACCCTCGTTGAAACCCTCGTTGCCCCCCCAACCCTCGGGTCTGTAAAACCCTAAAAAAGGGTTTCTCACGTATAAGTAGACGCTGCTTTCGGCGCTGGGTCTGGGCTGTGCTGCAGCGAGGCAAACGGACTCTGGAGTGGCGTTTGCTGGCAGCAGCAAAACGGAAAGTTGCTTCAGCTGCTTCTCCTTTTCTGCACTCAAAACCCTAACCACATTATCGAGGGCCCCCACGGCCAAAAAGGGGGCCCTGCTGCGGCCCTCGGGGGCCTCCAGCAAAGCCAAACAAGACACTTCCACGTGCAGCTGCTTCCTTGCTGCTTCCTCGAGGGCCCCCAGCTCGTCCAGCTCCAGCAGCAGCACATCTCCCCCCGAGAGCGCCAGCAGCAGCTGCTGCTGGTTTGCTGCAGCAGCGCGGATCCTGCGGTCCCCGGGGGGCCTCCACACGGCCACGGGGGCCCCCCCGGGGCCCCCGGGGGGCCCCCCGGGGCCCCCGGGGCCCCCGGGGCCCCCCGGGGGCCCCCCGGGGGCCCCCCGGATGTGGCGGACCTCGTTTTCGAGCACTTGGACGTAAGAACCGTCCGCGAAGAGAGCAGCAAGAAGCGTTGTTGCTGCAGCAGCAAAAGGAGTGTTGGAAACTTCTTCAACTGTGTCTCCGACTTGGAGAACGAGAGTGTTTCCCTCGAAAGAAACCAAAATGAACTTGTGGAAAAGGCCCTCCGGACTCTCCCGGAGGGTCCAGAGGCCCCTCGGAAAGCCCGGAAGCTCATTGTCCGCCAACTCCTCCACCCCGAGGCCCCGCTGCAGTACCCTCAGCGCCGAGAGGGGCCCCCTGCCGCACAGCAGGTACAACTGGGGGGCCCCCCCAGTACCCTGTGCATCCAAGACTTGCAAGTCCAGAACAGGAGAGGCAGAAGGCAGCAAATCTGACAGCAGCAAATTCCGCAGAGGCCGCGGCTTGAAGGCTATCACTGCTGCTGCGCCTAAGGGGTGACTCGCGCTGCAGCGCGGGTCTGCTGCTGCAGTGCCAATGCCCGTGAACTGGTAAAGGCTGTGGGGCCCGAACTCCGCAGCAGCAAAAAGATAGCCGGAGCGCAGCACGCAGAGCGCGTTTGCTGCAGCAGGCAGCGAGTCGAAGTACCTGCAGCTGAGGTCTTGGACTATTCCCTCGGAGTGAGTTATTTCTATTTTGAATAAATCCCCCAACTCCGACTGCAGCAAAATGAAGAAAAAGCCCTTCATTCGGTGCGCTGCGTAGCAGCAAATCAGCACTTCCTGCTCCCCCCCGACTTCCAGCCGCCGCGGCATGCTGCAGCAAACTGCTGCGTGGTCCAGCTTCCGGTACTCCACGCTGCTGCTGCAGCAAACCAGGACCCCCCCGGGGCCCTCTTGGGGGGCCCCCCCGGGCACTGGCACCAGCAAGTGGGCGCTCTCGGGCACTTCTTGGCTCGCCTTCTTCACCACGTGGTTTAGGCCCAAGTCCATTTCCCAAAAACATAACACGCGGGGACTCTTGCGCAGCCCTGAGCAGCAGCAGCAGCAGCAGCAGCAGCAGGGGATCCAGAGCAGCAGCAGCAGCAGCGGGAGATCGCGAGACGCCAACAAAGCAGCAGCAGCAGCAGCAACAGCAGCGAAACAAAACACGCAACAGCAGCAGCAGCAGCAGCAGCAGCGAAACAAAACTCGCAACTGCAGCAGCAGCAGCAGCAGCAGCAGCAGCAGCAGCAGGACGTACCGCCCTTGTGGGGCTGGGGGTAGGGCTGTTCGAGGGTGGCGAAGAGGGGGTTTTCGAAGCCCACGTCGAGGCCGCAAAGGTCGAGGCAGGCGATGTGGCTTTTGTGGGCCTCGAGGGGCGAAGAAATGGTGACAGCCGCTTTTGCGTCTCTGTTCAAAACGAAAACGAACTTCTGCCGCTCCACGGCCGCCACCATCAACGCGCGGCCGCGGGGGTCCACCGCCACGTACTCACCAGCCACCACACGACGCACTCCTGCAGCAGCAGCAGCAGCAGCAGCAGCAGCAGCAGCAAGAAGCAGCGACGGAGTCCACGGGGTTCTCGAAATAAGCCAATAACAGCAGCAGCAGCAGCAGCAGCAGCAGCAGCAAGAAGAAGCAGCGACGGAGTCCACGGGGTTCTCGAAATAAGCCAATAACAGCAGCAGCAGCAGCTGCTGCAGCGAGAAGCAGCGAC